GCTGAGTAATCCCATACTAGGACGAAAAGGCCATCCATTGCTTCCAGGTTTTCCATGGTGGTCAAGCTTCAATTGACTCATGATTTCAATCTGTGTTACTTCATTATGTTCTGCTATGATTAGCTTAAAATCTACCATTTCATTTTCATAATTATTGTAATATATTAGACATAATATCAATATATACGAACGTCAATACGAAAGTGATCAGAGATGTAAGTTGGAAATAGTTGAGTTTATGTTTCATTAAGTCTTTAATACTGAAGGAATACTCACGAAATGAGTTGGTGATGAAGGGAAAATATCTCATAGGAAATAGTGAAAAGATTTGATCAATACGAAATTGGGAATTTCGTGTCTTGTTTATTATGGTATTAGTATCAGTTGTAATAACAATAAGTATTAATTAGAATATCATGTAAAATTGGAAATATCACTGTATCATTTAAGTTTTAATAGAAATCATGAAAGGGAGTTAGAGTTAAAACAAATTAGAAGGGAATTAGTGTCTACGTTTGTGTACGTGTATTTCCGTATAAAATCTCGAAACGTTCGAAGTTACATACATCGTTAGATCACATTTTAGTAAAGATTAAACATTCTTCGAGAGACAAAAGATCCTATATTTGATTACTGTGACTGGTTCGTGGATCCGTTTTGCTTAAGAGTTCCATGCTATCTAATGCTTCCCGATTTTCAATAGTTGTTCAATTAGAATCACTTCATCAAGTAAACATTTTTACTCAGTAGAAATGACTTACATTAAGTTACGAAATGTCAAAAATACAATTTTCTACTTATTGGTATATCTCAAAAATATATATAATTATTTATTAGTAGTAACAAAATGTTTTTTATTGATTTTAACGAGAGTCTGTGTTAACTAGAGAAAGACATATTTGTAGACAGGTAATGAAATGAGGATTCATGAAACTATAATTTACTTCTACTTCCCAATGGCTTAATGAATAATACATTTCATAGTCAAAGGATGGGTATAATGTAATATATTTTAACATAAAGAAACAACATTCTTATTTAATAAGTTAAGTCTAATAAATAAAAAGACAGATTACATCGACATGTCTAAATATAGATAAAAAAAATTTTTTTCAAATTGTGTTAAGCCCTCAGGCAATAGAAATTGGATGATAGTTACGATGTAATAAAATCACTGAATAAATTACATTTAAATATGATTACAAATCTCTTTGTGAATGACGCAACAGTAATGGCATAATTGTTATTCACACTTGTTTTGCCAACTTTACTGTTGAATGGTGATAATAATAATAATAATAATAATAATAATAACCAATCTTTAAATATATATCAGTCATTTTAAACCCTTTTGAGAACATTCTTTATCAATTTAGTTGTATCAAAAGGGGTTTATTGGAGATTGTAGTAATTTCAATAGTTGAGATCATGAGTCAATTGAAGCTAGACCACCATGGAAAAGTTGGAAGCACTGGACGGCCGTTTCGTCCTATTGTGAGACTCTTCATCAGTGCGCATCTAATCTCTAATTGAAGAAATTAGAATTTGTGTTTCCAATGTAAAATGCAATTCACATTGTTTTTTCATTAGATGCCATTTCTATGTGACATGTAAATGACTATTGTATATAGTAAATATATGCGTCTATTGAAACAATGCATTAATTTACTCGGATACTTTTGAAATCAAACGTAATTTATTATACAAAATGTTTCAATACTTAAAATTAGTTTATGATTTATGTTTACGTTGTGAAAAACGAATGTATTATTTTTAATGAAGCATAAATGATTCATAAACGTCTATTGATAATCAATAAATGTAGAAGGAAATATATTTACTACTCTATTGTTTCTAAGTAGTGAGATACAAAAGATCGTACCTCTTTATGTAATAATAGGAAGAATAATAATATAAAATTCTATACTGACAAACCATTAATGTAACATCAGAATCGAATCATAATTATTTATTTGTAAAAATAGTGAATAGACTGATGTTTTATTTAAAACACTTAGTCCCTTTGATAAATTTCGATAGTATAATAAGAAGGTGAAGATTATCAGAACTATGTGATGATATATTAGCGTAATACATTTTGAACAATCTGATCACACATATACTTGTTAAGAACATTTATATACTGAAAAGTAAAAGGTCAATTAGACTAGGAATGGAGATAAGGATAATAAAGAAAATAATGTAAAAACAATTTGAAACCTCATCACTCTAGATAATATTCGTACGATAAGCGATTACAAAGTTTAATAAAGAATAAAGTAATACCAATCTAATATCCCAATGAGTAGGAAAATTAAACTTCCCAACGTTTCGCGACTTACTGTAGGCCGCTTCTTCAGAGAATCTATTATTTGAAATTGTCAAGTCAAACAATGGTAATGATACCTACAAAGAATAAAATTGCTTATTTTCAAAAATCATTTTAAAAAAATAATAAGTAGTCTTCACTAAACCTATAGCGTAAAATACAATGATTTGAAGCAACAAGACAATGAATTCTTGTTATATCCACCAATAAACCTCAAATAGGTATTTGTAATAATCATAAGTAAAACTAAATATCTTATACATTTTTTAATGAAAATTATAATTTGGATCTACCATCATTAAGGAAGGATAAACTAATTAGACACAATAATAATTCTGGAGTAGAGAAAAAGAGAAAATGAAGAAGAAGAGTTTATTAGTTCAGTGATAGATTATCCGATGAAATAAGCTAAATACAAAGTATACATATATATATATATGTAATAAACATTTTCCTCATTAATAATATATTTCATTTAATAAACTAAATGTTATAATCCATCAAAAGATAATGTGGTGACCTCGATATTTTAAAATATCTTTCAATCACTTAATCCATTTAAGTATATTCAACAGTCAAGACTATTGTAAATAAATTCCTTCTGTTCATTTCAATATTTGTAATAATCATAAAGAAGCATTTTTATACGAGGTCATATTTGATTGTAATAAGTTTTTTTCTTGTTTTATTTTTTAGATCATTGAATGCCCATTAAATCAGATGTGGAAGATATACTGTAGAACTTCAAAGATAAAAAGAAAATTTACCACCTGCTGAATAATATCTTGTAAACAATAGTTATGGGTCAGAAATGTTCATAGGAGAATTTATAGTAAATATATACAGTTATTGATAAATATTACCGATATTATCAATCAACTGCTCAATGAAATATATTTCATGAATTAGTCGTTTAATGAGATGGGAAGCTTAATTGTAATTTAAAATTGTAGTTCTATAATTGAACGTTGCAGATAAATTGATTTTAGTTGGTTATTTGATGATGATAAAGAAATTTTAACTGACTAGTATTTTGTATTGAATTTAGTCAAGATTCATGAATAAATCATTGGTGAACAGTTATTATCAATTGTTAACCATACATCTTATTACTTTATCAAAGTCATCAAAGAAATCTGATGATGTTAAACAATTTACTGAAATATATTACAAGATACTCATAACAATATCAAGAAATGTCACATTAAATAATCCACTTAAGCTCTAGTACAATCAATTATCATAGAAAACAAGATAATATAACTCAGTAGTAAACTATAACTGCTTCTTTTCAGCATATTTGAGCAAAGAATTTGGTGAGTGTTAATCTTTATACAAATGAGGTCACTTATAAAAATCTCAATCAACAATCATATTTTTAATAAAATATATATATATATTCATTTACTTCTATTTGGTGTTGGTTAACTAGGAAATATGTCAGTAATCAATAAATAACCTGTTGTCTTCAGGCAAGGTCCTTTAGATACTATACAAGAAAATCTGATATATCTTTAATGGAAAATTCACAGTAAATAAAGTAACTCAATCATTTAAAGAGATATTTATTACTAAATATTAAATTATACCCTACGAAACGAAATTAAACTCCCTATTCATCTCATGTATATGAATTGGTTTCTATTAAATAAAAGACACATTTACTTCAGTATTGTAATGAACGATACTTTATTTATACCTTCATTTTATTATAATTTAATGTTATTGCTTCCTAATTTTCTTTGTTTTACAAAATATTTCCATGTACTTAAATGTTGGTTCAAATAGTTTTGACATTAAACCAGAGAAATAATAATTCCTGTCTGTTCAATTCAGATTACATAAATACTTTGTGGTTAAATATGATAGATCTCTGCTAACACGTATGAAAAATTACAAACTAAATTAGTTATCATTGAATAACAAAGTAGTTATCTTGTATATATTAGATATTTAGAACAACATATATAAGCGAACAATATTGTTTTCAATTAGACCCTCACCAGGTTTTACTCTAATATACAATAAGTAATATTTATATGCATATACGAAATTATCAAACTTATCAAGGCAGTTTATGAGTCATTGATAACAGTGGAATGGATTACATAACTAAACAGAATAAGTGGAAAGTACAAATTGGTTATATGATGACAGGTATACTAGTTGTGATAAAACTAATGAGACATTGTATTCGCTTATATATGTGTTGTTCTAAGTCACAATATAAAAATTTCTCAAATATTGCATATTAACACTTCAGAGTTATTTAACATATTACATATACATAAACAAGGTAATTAAATGATCAGTAGCATTTCGAAAAATGAGAACTAGCATTCCCCATTTTGAAAATTAAATCTAATTGTAAGAATTTACCACACTGATTTTTGTTTTTGTTTACATAATCATTAAAATCTATTTGACTAAATCATATTTATATTTGAGCAAGTCAATATTACATTCATATCATTTATACAAGTAGGTTTATACTTTAGAAAGTAACGTTCAAGAATTTGTATCCATTTCATTATGATAAGAAGTACAATATTATCTCATGAACTAATGTTTATTTTATCGATAAACTCTTAGAGTTATTGTATAAGTTATCAACATATATGAAAACTATAATCAACATTTCTCTTTTATAATAAAAATTACATTCACTTACCATTTACTGCTAGTTCTTTTGTTTGAATAGAATATTTAAACCTAAAATATATAGGCCATATATGTTTTTATTATTGTTAAACTTAAAACATTATCCTATCTTCGTTTGTATGTTTATTTGTTTTTTTTTCTCATGAATTTATATAATTGATTGTATTTTATCTTAGAAAACTGTAATTCACTTACTATTTTGTTAATTTAACTACATTGGAAAAACTTTTTTAATCATATTTCGATATAATTTGAATCAACCAATCACATGTCGAGAATTTTTAACCAATCATGTTTAAGAAATTATAATATATGTAGGTCTTCAAAAAAAACAAAAAAAAGAAACTAGAGACGAAACAAACAAGCAAGTTTTATAAACCTAGATATTTCAGAAGAAGTATAAGAAGATTGTATATACCTATCAACTTTTGTAAAGTTTGTTTTTCTTTTTTCTCTTTTTACACTTCATTCATTTAATTTTCAAGGGATTTCAGTCGATATTTTTGTATGATAAATTTTTTTTTATTTCCTTTTCACAATTATTAAACAAACCATGGAAACATTGATTAATGAAAGGTTGAAATGTTGCTTTTTAAGAAAAATGTGAATAAAAATAATGAATTTGTGAAATTTTATTGATTGTCACAAATATGTTTTGTTTTTTTTCTTTTGGTTGTCTTTTTTTTTTAGAAAATTTTATCTTAAGTGATGAATCAAAGTATTTTGCCGAAAATAATTATCATTTATTTTTTTTATTTTTTTCATTTGTCATCGTTTATAGAAAAATATATTTCAATGAAGTTTTGAATGTTTATACTTGACTGAAAATGTAGACCGTATGTTTATTGGTTCTAATGTAAAAAGGGGTAATCATAGATATTTCATTATAATTTGTTATAATGTATTGCTAATAATTGTCAGATAACACTTTATTAGGAATGAATACTTGTTGTATATTATGATAAGTAAGAAAGATTAGTCTAACAATGAGTTCTCTTTTCGGTGAATTCATTTCCAAAGCTATACAACTGCAAATGTTTTTTCATTCTTTTATGTATTTCTAATTTTCACAATGGGAATCTTTAATATTCTAAAATCGCGTGGGGACCCTGTTGCATTTAAGACACTTAATGAGTTTCTGAAGTTTAATGCACGTCTCACGGAAGCGAAAATGAGCTTAGAATTTGCTAATAATTGTATACAATTTAATAGGTATCCTAAAATATATTGGAAGTCTTTACGTCTTAACCAAATCTATCCTAATGCAAAAACACTTGAAAGACATGCGTCAAATCAAATTGATACTTTAAAAATGAATATCCGCGACTTAGAAAGGAATCTTCTTCAGAGACAATATTCCGTTAAAAACCTGCCTTTAGAGCTTCAGTCAATGTTTATGGATTATGTGGGAAAATTTTCCAAGAACAGATCTGAGAAAACGTTGACAAAACTAATGAAAACTTTGGAAAACCGAAAGCCAGAAAAGGAGTTTCCTTTCGACCCGAAACGGTACGTACATAATTTTTCCAATATTGAACTAGATGTAATACAGCTAGAAGCTTTATCTCTGGGACCTAAATTCTGTGATAGTAGGCATAGAATCAACCAATTAGATATTGATGTACAATTTGAGAATTTATTTTCATAAACAACTGACTTCATTCCTACCTCATTGGAGGATCTTGCTCGGTTTAAAACCACATTAGTTGATAGCTGCCAACAATACAAGAATAGTAAGGGTACCACAAATCACCTACTAACCAAGCAGCACCGAGACTCCTTAATGAAACTAAGAAAAAATGAAACCCTGACCATAACCAAACCAGATAAAGGAGGAGGTATAGTTCTCATGAACAAAAATGATCACATGGAAAAATGGAAACAATGCTTAGCGATCCTAGCAAATTTCAGAAAATTACTAGTAGTTGTGACATCAATAATAAAGTAGAAAGACAATTGGCCAATTTCCTTAAGGATCTAAAGAAAAAGGGAATAATTATGGCCGAGATTCACGATTCAATTAAGCCGACTGGATCATTTACACCACGACTGTATGGTTTGCCTAAAGTACACAAATCGGGTCTTCCTCTACGCTCAGTTCTAGATATGTACAATTCTTCTTACCACAAAATTGCAAAGTGGCTAGTACCAATCTTAGAACCTTTACGTAAATCAGTTGTTAGAAATAGTGTAAAAGATTTCTTCAACTTCACTTCCAAAGTGGAAAATATTAATGTTAGTATGCAGAATATGATCTCATTGGATGTAGGATCTTTGTTCACCAACGTACCACTTATAGAGACTATTGAGTTTATATGCAAGCAAATATCAGAAAAACAAATCAACATTGGCTTGCTTAACGATGGTCTAAAGGAACTGCTGCTAAGGTGCACGCTGAATGTACATTTTGTCTTCAAAGATACTTATTATAGACAGATAGACGGGATAGCCATGGGCTCGCCTCTAGGTCCGATTTTAGCTGATCTCTTCCTAACAAAGCTAGAAAATGGACCTCTCAATGAGACTATTAAGAAACTTGATTTATATTGCCGCTACATTGACGACACCTTCATTATCGTAGATCAAAACACTAGTAAGGAGGAACTCCTAGACCAATTAAACAGTGTTCACCCAGCGATCACTTTCACTGGTGAAAGCGAGCATGATAAGAAGCTGAACTTCCTTGACATCACACTAAGCAGACGAAGTGACGGCACATTAAGTAGAACGTGTATAGAAGAAACCCCTCTTCATGCCAATATACTCACTTCTGCGGTTTCACATCTATCCGTTATAAGAGAAATTTGGTCGGATGTCTCACCAGCAGAGCAAAAAAGATCTGTACAGTAGATACTCTAAGTCCGGAGCTTGAATTTATCAACAACACTCTGACCGAGATCGGCTACCTCAGTGCTTTCATTAAGAAGTACATGTATGACATAAAGAAGTCGTAGATTTCGACTGTTCGTAAGAAACCTTCAAACGTGAAAGTGCAATTCAACGGGGATGTGGCAAGTGACACTCTGAAATATAGGTTAACCAAAGTAATCACCAGGACATTCTACGCGGCCAATCTTGCGTTGACCTTCTCTTGTCGACCAGCGATGTCTACTCAAACGAAAGATAAGTTACCTGAGTTGGCCTCTTCTATGTGCATTTACAAACTCAGCTGCTCCTGTGGAGATAACTATATCGGGCGTATTACCAGGCAACTTCACCAACGAATGAGTGAACATCTATCAACTTGGTACATAAAGGACCAGATAAAATCTATTCGCAGTACTATCTTGGCACATCTCATTGATAGCGGTCATACTGTAGATAAATCGAAATCATTTCGAGTTATCTATCGTATGGCTCCATTATTTCCCGACAGAGTTCGTTCCCGCCTCCTACATATAGCCGAAGCCATAAGAATTCGTACATATAACCCCAACTTGTGTGTACAGAAGAAATTCGTAGCTCCCCTATCCCTTCCATGGCCAGTTATAACTTAACTAACGATATGTTTTTGTTAAATTTTTTAATTTTATTATTATCATTATTTACTTTATTCTATTTTGTTATCATTAACCTTATTTTCACATCCATTATTTGTTTGTAATTTTCCACCTCTTTCCGTTTGTATTCTTCACTATCAAATCATGTACACACATCTTATTACGTAATGATTTTAATGTTTTGTGATTAATATTCCTAGTCTATTTACCCATGTTTGACCTTCTATTTCCAACCTTTAACTATTGATAAGACTTTCGTATTTTATCAATTCACCTGTCTCCCTACTATCAACTTGTACTTTTGCCTATTATGTGTGGTGACCTATTCTATTTCATTGTGATTCTTGACGCAAATCGCCTTGATTGGTCTACATTTTCGTATAAATAATCATTTATATTAAAGTAAAGCCTGATGACGATCTAATTGAAAACAATTGTGTTGTTCGAATTTCAATCTGTTGCTTTTCCATAATTTTGTTTGTTTTTTTTCATTGATTGAATTTGAGATGTCATCTACAATAACTTTGTCATTTTTTGAAACTAGGTATATAGGTCATTTGATGAGTACTCTATCCAAAAGAATTCAAGAACATAATCTGGCATGGCTAAGAAGAGGAGGAACCACTCAATAAGAAGTTCAATAATCGAACAACTTGTGAACACAGGTCATTCAATGAAGAAAGACTTTGCGTTCAATGTCATCTACAAGGTAAGTAGAAGTCTTCTGAAGACAATTATATTACATCTTATTTGCATTGACGAAGCTATAGTCATACATCTGCGAAAACCGGAATTATGTGTCCAAAACAGATTAGTACAAACTCTTCTTCTACCATGGTCTTGATGCTCCATAAATTTTTTTCTTCAGACTCCTCTTCCATATTCTTCTTAAATGTCCTACCCACAATTGGTTCACTTCTGTTTCTACGATCTTCCTGATTACATTTATTCCTAATTGCAACATTCTATCTTATCTTGCTAAGCCATACTTTCCCAATCGTAATTTCCTCATTAATCTTTTGATGAATATTTAAGTCATTAATGATATGACTGTTATTACATTTTCCTTGTTTAAAATTTTTTTGTGAATACCTTTCTTTATTCGACCATACTGTCACCGTGTCTAACAGAAGTTTCTTATCAGTATTACTATTATCCTAAAAACTAAGTATATATATTAGCAGTTGTACAGCTTTGATAATGAATTCGTCTAAAAGAGAACTTTTCACTGAACTAATCGTTCTTATTTAATATCATAATGGGTGTATTCCGTTTATTATGATGAATATTTGGTTTCAATTTATACTTTATGGCTAGATATATAATTATACAATTAGTGAATTTACCAAATATGGTTTTTATTGATAAACATTATTACGTTTGACTTAGTGCATTATACTGATTTTCACTCATTTCATTTGGTATATACAAGTAAGCAATGCAAACATTTGTGTACAATATATTGTTCATCATCAGAGAGAATATAATTAAATTCATTTATGTTTCGATGTCATTTGGTTCAATGATAAGTTTTTGAACTCTGGTTAAAAAATTTCTGGCCACTGTCACTTTGGTCGAGTTTGGATGTGCTTACTTAAAATCTACAAATTTCCCTCAATATATTTGATTTTGGAAAATACTGATTTTTAAACAATCATTATATTTCTTCTCCACTAAACAGTCTAGAAAAGGTCATTTGCGT